TCTTAGAAGTCTAACAATAATATTGAACACTYAGTTGCATAAATTTAATGTTATTTCCAAATATTACTTAATGAATTTCTACCTAGGAATAAATTTTGGCTTAGTTTTTAAAATGAATACAGTCGAATTCAAAAAAATAACTTATTAATATAAAATAATTAAAACCTAACCTTTATTTGTAGTCTGGTTAGGAGTAACAGCTGCAGACTGGATTGGATATGTGACTTTTTGTTGCATGGCGGAACTAGTAGCATATGCAGCAGCATTAGCTTGACATTGTTTCTTTGGAACGACTCCTGTTGTATATGTAGTAACTGCCTAAAATGTTTAACATAATACAAAAAATAATCTTTTAATTTTTAAAGAACTTTTAAATAAGTGTGATATCCTTATTTATTTTTTAGTATTCTATCAACTAGATAATTAAATCAGAGAAGATTTAGCCATTTTGCAAATCATACTAAAATGTATTCTTGATTTATTAATCAGAAAATTAAAATTAATGATTATTGAAAAACTGCCAAYACGTAATTGATATTACCATAGTACAAAAATTAGCTATTAGAATATCGTTTAATTTCAATACATTTTTCAGAAAAGATTAAGCCATTTTATTAATAATAATAATGTTCATTCCGTAATTATTCAACATAAAAAAAATCAAAATTAATGCTAATTGAAAAACTACCAACAGCTTATTGATAATTACATAATAAAAATTCTACCAGTTACTAAACTCTACTCCAAATAAGTCTGTAAAAATGTAAGAAGACAAAGCATCTGGTTTCGCGCAGGTGTGTCACATGATATGCCATATGGTCACTGACGAGTGCCGATAACTATAGCCTATAACAGCAGACCTCCATGCATGATGTTTTACAGACTTATTTAGAATAGATTAAGCCAGAACTACACAAAACCATGGTAATTGTAATATAACATTTTGAACTCTTTATGTCGCCTTAATAACAGTAGTATATAAATTTCAATTAGATCAAATCACATTTCAGAAAAGATTAAGCCAAAATATAATAATCATTGATTATCATACTTTCATAGTTTTTCATCATTAAAATTAATTGTTCCATAAACTAAGAAATGTATTTCATATAACTGTATAAAAAACTATTTGTACTATTCTAAACAAGTGTAATAGTTAAGTTTAAAAAAGTTTCTTCTTTCAGAAAAGATTAAGCCAATATTATTTATCATAATATTCAAATATTTGTATTTCATCACTTTTTAATAAATATTAAACATAGTTTATACCAAATGGTATTAAAATGTAAACTAAATATGAAATTGTATTTGTTTAATTAWTATTACGGTCAATTACAAGCATTAGCACATGCACCAACCACAAGTTTATCTTTCAAACATTGACACTCAATCAATTAATGGTTACTWGTTTTCAATGAGTGGTTTGCATGCTTGAGCTGACTGGATGACTTAGCTGCAATCACTCGTTATAACACCAACTCATAACCAAGGACTCACATACAATATTTTTGTTTAAAAAAAATTGAAACATACACGTGTATAGAAAGCAGAGAACTTCCACAATCATAAATAATGATTAAAGGTGTTCCCGGTCTAATTTAGGTATTGGATAAGACACCATGGGCTAGTATTAATAGGGAACCACTGTAATGGACTTGAATTGGTTTCTTAATAGTTAATAGTCTTAAAACACGCCTAYAATCCAGAAATATTTTAAAGGTTATTCTAAATTAAAAGAAAATTCTATTTCACAGAACTTTATTTACTATTAATTGCAACCAATAATCTGTTTAACAAAAATAAAAAATAAATAATATTCTACTACCTGCAATAGCCAAGTTTGGCAATGCAACATATGTTATAYGAACAACAATGATTTTTAAGACATACTGATAATATTAAATTTCAGAATATATTAAATAGAAGTCTACCTATACTAACACTGAAGAACATGATCATTTTAATATCATTTTTGACAAGAAACTTGTTACAAGCTAACATTATGGTTAAAATAAATTATACTTTATAGATGACCTGGTAGAAACTAGAAATACACAGAGTAGTAATGAAACAACTACTTTGGCTCAATTGTATGATGAAAGGTATAAGTTGAAGTAATAATTATATAATATATTATTAAATAATTAAAAATGCATATGTGATGGGATTCATTAACAACACAGAACAAAAAAATATGATGAAATAAGCATCTTGAATACATATTACACAGAATATAATTTAATAATACAATGAATTATACATTTTATAAATACTGTCATTGTGCATAACACAATAATAACATGTATAATTTTAAAATGATATTTTTACTTACTTGGTATGGAGCATATTGTGGTTGAGTGGGGTAGGCTTGTTGTGCATAAGCATTTTGTCTAGTATCATATGCTGCACTATTGTATGCTGCTTTTGCTAAAAATATAAATAGATAGGTATTAATTACTATTAGTATGGCAAATAGATTTATTCAAAACATAATAAACAGTGTTCTAAAGGGCTATTAGGGATTTTACTAGTTCAAATTTATAATTTTTAAATAATCATGTAACAGTTGAGTCAGTGGTGTAATTGGGGTGTGGCAATAAGAATTATACTACAGTATAAATCAGTTAAAATGAGTTTTAAGGGCCAACCAGTTTTCCTCATTATAATTATTATCCTCGTTATACGCAATAATTCTTTAATATGGTTGAAATCAATGCTAAAGAAGTACCAAAACTTTTTAAGATTCCGTTGTTTATCTCACCATTTTCGTAACTCTCGATTATTCCAATTTTTCATTCAATGTAAACTGATGACAAGACATGGTGRACATCTTCATATAAGTGACATTATTTTTTTTTTTTATCAACTTAAAACACCAGTAGGAATATATTAATATTGTTAACTATTACTAAGTAATCTACACAACTAAAGATACTCAAGATTTTCAAGAAGAATTTGATACATACAGACTGATAAGAGTTATGTACTGACTCATATCGAAGTCTAAGCCCAATACAGATCAGTATGTATTGGTWATATATTGAATTGTAATTCTTTGAAACTCAAAATTAAAACAATATATATCAATAAACTCCGATTTCCTACTTGAAAATCCTAAATATATCAATGACTAATTAACCTTAATAATGACCACAAGTTTTTATCTTGCAGGTAAAACTATCATACATTAAAAAAATATCAAAATAAACTTGCTAATATGAACTATAATTTAAAACTAGTTAACAATCTGTTCTATATAGAAAATCAAAAAAAAAACTCGGGGTTTAAAATTAATTTTTCATATAGTATATCTATAAAAATTAATACCATAAGCAGATTGTGTTGCTGCAGCTGTTTGATAGGAAGCTACATCATATGCAGTTGCGGCAGCCCGTGGAGTTGTATAGGTAGCTGGCGGTACAGCATAACCAGCTTGTGGAGGAGGCTGATAACCAGTTGCGGTACTGAAATAATATTAACATTGAAAGATTAGCTTAAACATTATTTACTTAAATAAAACAATATACATGTTTCAATACTACTTATCGATAGGTCATTAGAGTAAGATCCTATGGATTGATTATACGATCCCAAACTTCCCAAAAAAACATGAATAATTAAACCATATGGCTATCTGTTCATAGTAAAATTAAAAAGTAAGCCACAAGACTGAGAAAAATTTAACTTCACTGTGCACCCAACCATAGGCATAATATACATATTGATGGCAATGACCTTAATTGTCAGCATCTACAAATGATTAGTGGCCACTAACAGGGCACTTAATGTTACAAGGAAATGAGACATTAAGTCTGCAAAGTGCAAGCAAGAGAGTAATTTACAGATAACTGTAATAGAGTTAACTTTAAAATAAACAAAAAAATACAATTGATAAAATAGTTTACTGAAAAATATAATTTAGGTATAAGTGGAATATATATAAATATATAAAAATATAAGTCAATAACACAAAAATGTTCAATGAAAGAGCTTACCAAGAAAGTCGATAATCACAAAAAAAAAACCTTAAGCCAACTAATAACAGATAGATATAGGGATGATCACAAAATATGTCTAACACGAGAGGAAATGATATAGACTACAAAAATTGAAACAAGGATAACAAAGTTTTGTTTAAGAACACAGATTAAAATATTCATTATACGCGTGTAGTCAAACTCAAACCATCCGATATCAGTGCAAAATTCTCAAATTGTTCTCCATCAACTCGGCGTATAACGAACGTAACCTTCGAAATCGATGGCCAGTCGATCGTTAAAATTGTTTGTACTCTACGCCACACACAATATTTTACACCCACGAGCTAGCGCGTCAAGTAGAAGCTCAACGAAACCTCATCAAAATTTCATGATAACCTCGTGCACGGTTACGATGATTGTTATTATTACTATTATAACCTAACGCGCAATACATTACGACGGCAATTATGAAAACGGCGGAGTTAATCAATGAGTGCCCCGGGAACTGTTGTATACAAACTTACGCATATTGAGTGCCACCATGTGTGAAACCGAAATAATTGTTGGCGGCCATTAGGGTGAATCGATTTGGCTGACGAAAAATCGCCGGTCAATAACCGGAATAAGCGGTGACGGCAGCTGCAGCGACAAACAGCAGCGGTTCAGCAGCAGCAAAAGCAGCGCATCACCGACGACCGTGYCTGAACTCTGAGTGYTGGACACGCTGGAAAACTTTTTGAGATTGAATGATAGATCAAGCAGTCGACGGCGAAATGAGAACAGCAAATCTAACGTCACAATTGTTCGTCGGCAACCGACATAAAATGGCGTCACGTCAGGCCAGTGGCCGTCCGGCTCCACCGGCCCTCGGCAGCGCTTGTTGTAAAGCCCAGCACAGTCAGTGCCGCCAACACTGTCAAGGTGCTGCTAAACGTACATAATTCTTTTCGCCATGCAAGCCAGTCATTATTAATTTTATTATTATTATTATTCTACCATAGAATATTCTATGATTCTACCAAAGTAACCAAGTTATTTTTGTAACCAATTTATTGTTCTGTGATGTAACCGAGGTCTTACATTCTACAGTATCACCACCAGCAGCAGCTGCAAAGACGACCCGTGTTCAAAATATTTTTATCACGATTCGCGTTATCTAAGCAATGAAAATGCTGATAAACCAATATCCACGAGCGGCACGAGCATAATATTATACCCTTTTCAGTTTTATTTGAAATTTGAGAAAACAAAATACTTCATTTTTAAAATGAGTAGCAAGGTAGTAAACGAGAGCAGCATGTGCTATATTGACTTTTGTCCAAATTGCTCAAACATTCTTCACTTGGACGAGTATCTGGGAGAGATGAGACAGAAATGTCAAGTATGTCCGTACTTCTCAACAATCAAAAACGTCATGCTTGCTTCCCGATCATTTTACAAACTGAAAGTAATAATTATTCATTGTTATCATCAAATAATGCAGAATATTTTTATATATTTTAACTTTTTCTAACAATTATTATTGATAAAAATAATTGTATTCTAGAATTCGCAAAATTATAAGGGATTCTTTTGTTTAAATTTACTAGCTGAATTCATAAAATTCTGTACATAATAATTATGACTAAATCCAATATAAAATCTATCTCCATTACTGACCAAACACTACACTATGTCCATATTATTTTTGAGCCAAACAAAAACTTCAAGACCTGTGGGATTCGTGATAACCCATTATTTTAATTTCACACACACTAAGACTAATTTTTAAATTTATATCATRCATAAATTGTCAAWATATGTATTATATTTTACATGTCAAAGATATAAGTACAACTAGTATAAGGCCATTATAGTTTGATAAAAATGTATAATGTAAATTCTAATCATTTCATATTTGTTTTGTTAGATCATAAGGTTAACTAGAGAAAGCTTTACCACCCTTTCCCCCGCCACAAAGATATTAGATAATAAATCACAAAAAATAAGTTCCTACCTTATTTTATGTATATTAAACCAATCTTGTATTTATAACTATATAATTTAAAACTAGGTCTTTAATGCATAAATACATTTACAAAACCCAATAAAAATATGTTTAAATAAATACAATTTTAAACTAAATATTAGACATCTGCATGCTGTTTTTGCTTGGTGAATTATCCTAAATAAATATAACATACATAGATACTGATGTAAATTTATATTCATAATAAGACATTAGAAAATCTACTGTCCTAGATCAATCTTTGTACAAGATGACTTATATTAAGTTATAGCAATAAAACATTCAATTCAATTCTATGATACATTTTACTTAAAATATACCAATTATTTACTATACAGCTAGATARTTAATAGTTTTATTTTGTWWGTTTTCTATTTTAATGTTATTATACTTATTATTAAATAAATATTTCCATGAACCATAAATTAATAATTACCTTCAAGGTTAAATTGTTAATTTTAGCAAGGTGGTTTAATATTCAAAGAACTTAATTTAWTTTTACATGAAATTGTATTACAATCTTTTAATTAAATCATTGTCCAACAATATTCAATGATTGTCATTCAACCAATTTCCCAATTCAACAATATAATACATTCATTTGTACTGGTGTTTATGTATTCTTTGAATAAACCTATTATTTTGTTTTACATACAATCTATTCAATTTTAAAAAATATTATAGTTTTAAATAATTAGTAATTTAATTTATATAGGTATATAATATATATATTATATATATTATTTTTTTTAGGAAATAGATTCAGTTCTGGGAGGCAAAGCTGCGTGGGAAAATGTGGATTCAATTGATGTAGTTTGTAATTCGTGCAATCATGGCAGGGCATACTTTTTACAAGTTCAAACTAGATCAGCAGATGAACCTATGACTGTTTTCTATAAATGCTGCARCTGTGGTCACAGATGGCGAGAATAAATGATTGATAGTAAATTTAATGAATGAAGTTTTTGATTAATATGATTAAAACAGAAATTACCTAATTAATACAAATAATATACTAAAATAAATAACACATGRTTTATAATTTTAAAATTACTTTTATTCTATAATTATTATTTTATAGTTAAAACACTACAGAATTGTTGTTTTTTTAATGACAACAATAAAAATAAAATTAAAAATATTTATTTACAAAGAAACTGTACATGGGAGTATCTGTCTTAAAAGCTATAATTGCTTTATAGCTTTATTGATTCGATTTGAGTGCATATTATGGAAATAAAAATAATTGATCAAATAAATATAAAAATAACTTAAGACAGCTCTACAATTATATAACCAAACAACAATTAATTGGATTTAATAATTATCATAAAAGGTTAAAGGACTTCATACCTGTATAGACATATTATTTGTCTCACAAACACTTAAGTTTACATTTTTCAAAATAACTGACCTACAAATATGTTATATTTAATATTAAAGGAAATTGACACTTTATCAAACYCTTCTATCCCTCTGTATAAAACATTTAAATTTAAGTGTTTAACACAGTTTGAATTTACATATTAAGAACACAGATGTTTGTATCTTCAATTTTGATGGTAAATTATATGTCAGTACTTTTATATAAAATGATAACATAATTGCGGATCATAAATTTACTATGTAATGATAGAGATAACAACCGTTGTATAACATCTTCTAAGGAAATCAGTCTCACATTATACTATGAACTTTGTGCGTTGTAGAAATATAAACACCAACAACGCAAACACATAGCGATATTTAGCCCACTTTGGTGCTTGTTATATTTCATTAAAAGTTAAGTTTTTAAACTAAAATTAATTACACAAATTAAAATTTAAGACTAGAATGGTTTTCACCACACAATGTAGCAGTATTTTACTAGCCCTATAAGTAAACTTGAATAGTGGCACAGAACCCTTCTGTGCAAACAGGACACTCGTGCATATCTGCTGCGCATTTGACACAAGCATAAACATGTTTACAGGGTATGAATGCAGCTGCCATTTCTTCTTTATGACATACTTTGCAAAGCATTGGGTCTAATTGTCTGTCTAAACACTGTGATGAACTGCATGGTAACTGTTCGAGATCTTTAACTTTTTCTTCATCCATTGATAAGTGTACTCTCATTACCATACTAAAYGGCTGTCTACATACAGCACACTGTTCAAGTGTTAGAGCACATTGAATGCATGCAATGACATGACCGCAAGGGATAAAAGCCACTTTCATTTCTTCTTTATAGCATATTTTGCACAGCATGGAATCTGGAATTGTATTAGGATCTCGCTTTTGACAAAGATGTTCTGTTTTGACAGTTGGTAATTTAATTTGAGATATGTTAGAAATATCTGGCTGATCAAGTTTTCTATAAAAACAAAAAAAGTAAAAACAAAATATCTCATCAATATAAACAGATTAATACTTATAATATTGTGCTTGAAAAAATGTAAAAGAAAACTTATTGCGGTGTATTCAAATGTTAAATTAATTGGAAACCAAGCAATAAAATGCATTTTATGAACATGATTGTAACAAATTTGAGTGCATTGTAATATTTAACTAATGAACTAAATTTCTACACAAAATACTATATTCAAGGTATAATACCTAGGTGTATGATGTTGACAGACAATGTGAATCCTGATTAAAAAAAAAAATTTTTAATGTAGTTTATATTTTTTATAATATAAATATTGGAATGTAATCATTAATTTCAACGACTTGGGTGAAATATTAACCTGGATTCAAATTTCTAACTTTTCAAACTTATAAGATATTGAAAATGCATTGAAATCAATAATGCTTTTCTTATTGAATGATTAGACTAAATTATTATTTAAGAAGCATACCTTTTTGTCGAATTTACTTTCATATTATTTTCAGTAATGGATGTATCTTTATGTTCAGCAATTAGCTTGAATAACTCCTATAATACAATTTTGGGTTAATTTCTAATATTCCATCCATAGTGATAAACAAAATATCAAATTACCGTTGGATTGAATTTTGTGCTAGTCACACCACATGCTTTGTCGACAAAGTTTTTGCCTTTATTTAACAACACGTAACTACAAGTTTCTGACCATCTGGCATGTTCTGTCCATGGTTCATCATCATCTTCCCAATCTTTAAGTCCTTGACTACAGTAGTAACATAGCATTTGGTCATTTGTACCATTTCCTAAAAAAATTTAAAGTAAATCAATATGATAAATGAACTAGTGAAGTAAAATATTATCAACTTACCTATATAAAAAAATCCAGCTTCACATAGGGTTTGAATATCTTGTTTCAATGGTATCAAACATTTCTCAAATGATTTCAAGCGTGCTTCTAAGGTAGCAAAATCTTTATGCTTAGGTGRTTTTATTTGTTGCAGAATACCAACAGAATCTAAAAAATCTTGAACCTTTTTTGACTCATGATTAGATCGGACATCATCCGGAGCAGAACCATATAGACCACACACATCATAACCAGCTAAAAATACAATACAAATAATTATTAATTTTAAGCAAACTATAATAGTACTGAATATTGACATGATATACTTTAGTTATCTGCATATTTATATCTTTAAATAAAAATGCAATACTTTAACTTTTACTTAATTATTATTCATATAATAACTAATCACACAAACAATTTTATATTTATTAATAATTTATTTATAATTTAATATAACATAATTTATAAATGAATTTCACTAACCATAACATTTTCTTTTTTAAATGTATTATTAAGTTTTCATAATAATATTTGCTCCATCCTAATCAATCCCTAATATAAATTCTTTTGGATCMAAATCCAAACTATGTATTCCAGAGGATAAATTAATAGTACACAAATGTAGTACCAATTAAAGTATCAATGATGTGGATATAATTATTATTTGACCAGTTTAATGAGAAACAACTGTCAAGAACCAATATTCAGATAGAATTGATCATATTTGCTTCATTTACAGAAAACATAAAAAAGATATGTTTAACTAATGACCATCATTATCCCTAAATTATTAAAAATACTTCAATTTTCAACATAACATTAAATAATAGTGTATTTCTTGTGAATAAAACAATGTAGAGCAAAGTTAATACAAGAAATGTCTATGTATCAATAGGTAAAAGGTTTTTAGTATAAAATAAAAATGTTTATAGCAGATCCTAAAATCAAGCTCATTTCCCAAGTCCCAGCCCATGGGCCCAATCCCTCTAAACTAATTATACAAGTATAAGTGTTTATATTTTACACCTGTACATTAAGAAAACGGTCCTAAAAAGCAATTTTTTTTAAACATAATAGGTGGCCCTCATAACTAAAAAGGTTGCAAATAGCTAATCCAGTAACTATTTGTAATTAATTAGAAAATTACTATTCAATTAATGAATTAGTTCTCTTTTTTATTATGATTCTAGTACAATTAAAGTTTTGTCATTAAACTGACAAGATTTATCTTGAAATCAACTTGAATTTCATATCAGATTACAAAAGTATTAAATTTAAGTAAGTATTTGATTTTTACCAGAAGAATCATTAAAAAATGGACATTGTGGAGACTGACGTTTATGTTCAACAACTGGATCATCACCATGTTGCCAATAATCAAATTCTGTAGAACAAAACAAACATCTAACACGATCTTGTATGCCCAAGTAATATAATCCAGCTTTAGCCATTTGGTCAGGTGTAATAAATTGTAATTTCCACACTCCATCAAATGTTCTTAAGCGATTTTCGTATGTAGTCAAATCCCAAGAAGGTGTTTCTTCATCAGACATTGGTCTGGATATTGRCTGAAGTGGATTATCAGATTCAGTTATAGGATATGAAGTATTCAAAATGATTGGACATCCGTTTGACATATGAATGATATTTTGCTCAAATTGTAAAATTGTTGCTAAYGTCTGTGATACAGGTTTATGATTTGGGGATGGAGCCATCTATTAAAAATAAAAAACACAAATATAAATTATTATACATCTTCAAAATAAATTTACTCCATAAAAAAGATACTATTTGTTAAAATACATAATTAATCTTTTAATATTTATGAATTTAAAATTTCTAGATATAGGAGATAATGATTTATAGAATTGTTTCTACAGTGTGTTTTAGGATCTAGGAATTTTTATGAGGATGGTATGGTGTGCAGATGCCTCTCAGCAAGATTTACGACATGCAATATGATAATTT